AAAAAGACATGGAATAAAAGACCAGAATTCCATGAACCAACACCCAGATAAGCAGGGTAGACAGTCAAGCAGAAAACAAGACTATAATGAAGGGTACCAAGGAGAAAAACCACACCCCACCAACACTGGCAGGGCAACTATTTTATATAGATAGGGAGCAACACACACACAACCACTGAGGATATTTAATTGCATAATGAAACATCTGCAAGCAAACAAGGCCAGACAGCAACAAAAATTCCACAGCTCAACCCTGAGCTACATATATTCTCTTCTGTCTCAAACATTATTTGAGCCCTGGCAGAAGATGCAGCAGATTGAGAATACTGATTTAAATCATCACAGAGTCTCTACTGTGTGCCTCTCTTTGATGGTCAAAAATCAGAGAACTCCTTTTTTATAAATTATATTAAAAGGCATAAGCTTTTGTGAGCTGCAGTCTCTTGTGATAGGCTAGTTTACTCACACATCATATATTTTTCCTCTGGAAGGATGTAAAATAAAAGGGGCCACGCCAGATGCTTAAAGTAGTTCAAGTCCACACAGTTTATTTATTAAAAAAAAGATTGGGATGGTCTGTATCCTATCTAGACTGTAGTAAATTCAAATGGTTGAATGCTGAGAAGATTGGAGCTGAAAGAGAGAGAAGCTAACAGACAAGAAATAATTGACTGGCTGAAATTACTTCAATGGCTGAGGATGATCTTGAATCTGGACTTCAAATTAGTCTAACCCTTTAAGCCTTCAGTCAAATTGGCTGTTCATACTGTGTTGACTTATAGCCTCTGTCCTAATCATAAACCATTGGTCTACTAATATTGCATGTTGGCCTGGAGGGCAATAAAAGGAATACCAACAAGATTTTCATGTACTTTTCTTCTTAAAATACAAGGATCTTCATTAAAATGTAGAATTCAAATCCCACTTCCCATCTAGACAGCAGGGAGACTTGAAACAAATTGATTTTATTAATGCAAAGGATACCAATACGGTTTAGATCAGTGATCCCCAACCTTCTGGCTTGGCAGATTGACGAGAGCAGTGGAGCGGGGGGGGGGGGGGGGGGGGGGGGGGTGGGGGGGGGGAGATGGCTTTATGCGTGCACACACACATTGCTTGTACAAATGCAGCTGTGTGTGTGTGTGCTCTCGCCCACCACTTCCATGGCCTGGCTCCAAACGGGCTGCAGCCCAGCATCGGCCCAGGGATTGGGGACCCCGGTTTAGATTATCAGATTCCCCCCTTTTTTTAGAGATAAACAAAGGGGGACACAGTGGCTTAGTGGGTAAGACGCTGAGCTTGTCGATCAGAAAGGCCAGCAGTTTGAATTCCTTGTGTTGCATAATGGAGTGAGCTCCCGTCACTTGCCTCAGCTTCCGCTAACCTAGCAGTTTGAAAGCATGTAAACATGCAAGTAGAAAAATAGGGACAACTTTGGTGGGAAGGTAACAACATTCTGTGGGCCTTTGGTGTTTAGTCATGCTGGTCACATGACCACGGAAACGTCTTCGGACAACGCTGGCTCTTCGGCTTTGTAATGGAGATGAGCACCGCCTTCTAGAGCCAGAAATGACTAGCACGTATGTGCGAGGGGGAACTTTTACCTTTACCTTATAAACAAACAGAAGTAAAAGAGCTCTGAAAAGAATAAGAGATTAAATATAGTAAGCAAGGGATCTAACCATATTATGGAGGTTTCAGTTTTCCAATATATCATTAATTATCTTTGAATAGTTGAATATATTATATCCATTTTAAAAAATTAAGAAACTTTCAGAGAAGGGTAAGCTTTGTGCTGAAAATAAATATAAAGAACTGTGGTCAGTATAATATAAGTCACAGACTGAAATAAGCTATAATAAGATGGATTGATATTGAGACTTTATTCTCATTTAAATATCTGATGAAGCTAAAATACAGACTGTGTATATAGAGAACCCCACATTTTGGATGAGGTACAAATCCATGTATTAAGTTACACTCCAGAAATGATTTCTATTTTGAATTGAATTCTAGGTCAGCTTTATTTTTAAGGTGTGAAGTTATTCTAGTCCTTCACTTTTATTCCCACAACTTTGTTAACCATCCTTCTAAGGAGGAAATCAAATAATCTTTCCATACTGGAAATTCAGTATGAAACATACTAATTCAGTATACTTAGATGGTTTAGTAAAGTTCAACAAAAAAAAGATGGCAAGTTGAAATGGGAATTAAGGCTTTAGCATTAGTTTCATTCTAGTCTTGATCATTTTTCAGAATTGTTTAGCTTTACAAGGTAAGGTTAGAGTTAAGGAAGTCTATTTTTTTTCCTTCTACACCAGCTGTCGCCAACCGGTGGACTGCAGTCCACTGGTGGGCCGTGAGAAAATTTTAGTGGGCCGCAGCATGCTGAGGCGGGGAGGTGGGGCAATCCTGCAGCTTCCTGTGTCATGGCTGCTGCCTCAGTGCATCGAGAAGGCCGAGTAGCAGCGGGAAGAGTGTGGACCTCCTGAGCCGCAGGAAGCAGAGAGGGAGGCGAGGGGGAGGCTCGCCCCCCCCTTCCTCCTCACCAGAAGCGCTCACACGCTTAGCGGGAAGGAGGTGGCTTGTTGGGGGCCAGAGGGGCAGTGAGTGCTTTGCGCGTGAGTGCTTCTGTCAAGGAAAAGAAGGTGGGGGGGACGCAGGAGATCGCACCCTCCATTCACAGGCCAGGAAACACCTGGGAAGAGCTCCAATGCCGCGATCTCCCATGCCCCTGCCTTCAGGAGCTTCTCTTCCTTGCCAGAAGCGCTCACATGCTCAGCGGGAAAGAGGAGGCTTGTCGAGGGCCAGAGGGGCGGTGAGCACTTTGCACATGAGCATTTCTGTCGATAAGGAAGAGAAGCTTCTGGGGAGGGGCGAGACTCGCCCTTGCAACATCTTCCCTTGAGGGCATCACTGGCAGCCACTCAACCTCCTCAATGCACGGATGCAAGAGGCAGGAGGTGACACCAATTCAGAGGACCCTCTCCTCTCACCCCCACCCCCTCTCAGGCCAGGCCTAGGCCATGATCTCCCACGCGTATGAGTCCATCTGCCCCAGTATCACCCCTGTTGCCCCACCTTCCCGACAGCCATCTGGTCTTCAGCACGTGGCTCGTCACCCCAGAGTGGAGGTTGCCCACTGTGCTGAACCATGCACGGCCACGCCCGCCGTGACCCCGTTCGGCTTGGACTCTGGGTTTGTGACTGGTATGTCTTAACGGGGATCAGGGTGACTTCGCCTCGCCTGCGGGACCACCGAGTAGCAGCTGCCAGCTCCTTTCTCCACACACCAAGTCTTACTAGGGGAAAGAGAGCAGCTGGGGTGTCCGTGTAGCTGCTCAGTTAGTTCGTAATCGCCCTACCCGGAGAAGGAGGTGCTGGAAGAGGAGAGGAGGCAGTAGTGGAGAAGCAAGCCAGGTGTTAAAGACATGGGGTGGGGGAGGCTTCCAGCCCAGCCCTCCTTCCGTCCCCCCAACTCCAGGCAGCCACACCTGGCAAAGGAGGGAGAGGTTTCCTCTGACTTGGGGGGAGATATGAAATGACAGGAGACCAGATTTGAGGGGGGGGGATGCTCTGCCTTTCTTGCTATATATATATATATATTGTTATAATTAAATAAGCATTTTTATATTTAAAAAATTACATTTATTTATATATATTTATATATTAAAATTAATTTTAAATAGTACATTTATATTTATTATTAAAAAATAAAAATTTTATATTAAATATATTATCTTTTTTTAAAAAATCATATTAGTGGTCCTCTGGATTTGAAAGTATGAGTTTGGTAGTCCCTGATGTCCAAAAGGTTGGCAACCCCATATATATATCTCTTGTCTGACTCTTGTCTAACAGGGGACTCCAAACTCGGCAACTTTAAGTCTTGTGAACTTGAACTCCCAGGACTCTTCAGCCAGCCATGCTGACTAAGAAGTTGTGGGAGTTGAAGTCCACAAGTGTTACAGTTGCCAAGTTTGGAAAGCCCTGTTCTAGGTTGGAGCTCCTCCGCCTCCTGTCTCCCAAGGTTATCCTCACAGCCCTTTATTTCAGGGGTCTCCAACTTTGGCAACTTTAAGACTTGTGGACTTCAAGTCCCAGAATTCCTCAGACAGCAAAGCTGACAATTCTGAGAGTTGAAGTCCACAAGTTGCCAAGGTTGGAGACCCCTGCTCTCTATAATACGATACTGCTGCTAAAAAAGCAAATGTAGGTGAGGCCGCATTATTAGAAAACTTGAAGAATAGTCATTCTCCTCTGTTCTGCTTTGGTAAACACCAGACTTCGAGAAGATTTCTGACAAACTTGAATAGCTTTGGGAATCTCAGGATGATCAGGAGACCAGAGAGTAAATCCTGTGAAGAGAGATTCAAGAAACTGTGTAGTCTTTGTATCAAGAAAAGATAACTATCGCGGGACTGTTCAAATGTCTGAAAGAAGGTCGCTCAGAAGAAATTCAAGAAAGGTTTTCTGCAGTTCCACAGCGTGGGATGCAGAATAATGGGTTTACCTTAGAAGAAGGCAGGTTCTGCTTGAATGTTAGAAAAAAAAAATTCTTGACAGTAAGAGCAATTCAGCAGTGGAACCAAACCCTCAAAAGCGGCAGATACCACTTTATTGGTTGCAATCAAAGAGAGGCAATATAAACAGAAGAAGGGGAATCTGTTCCTAGGAACTTACTATCTAATTTCATCTTAATGGAAGAGTGAAGATGGTAGCAATGGAAAATTGTAAGAAATGAAGACAAGTGAATAAATACTTGTACCTTACATTGTAGTGTACAAGTTGTTCTCAATCCGGATGTGTAAAAGGACAAAAGACTCAAGTCCGTTGCAAACAATTGTAGCTAATGGCCATTTTATTGTTATTATCTTGAATGCTGGTATTTCATAATGTGAACAATGTTTATTTCAAAGGTTTGTGGTAGGTCGTAACCCACTCTGTACTGTGGAGTATTTGTGCCTATGCTGATTGTCGCAATTTTTTCAATTCTGTAGAAGACCTGCAGTATCTGCCAGATGTTGCTTCCAAATTTGTGCAGTTTTGCATCACATCAGAGGATACATCAGCATAAATCTCCATATACATGTCCTGAATGTGGGGCCATTTGCAGATCAGTCCACTTCCAAACTCATGTCACAAAGAATTGCCTGCATTATACAAGAAGAGTTGGATTCCGGTTAGTATGACGAGAATGGGGATTTAAAACTATTCGAATATATACAAAAATCACACACCATTGGGACCGGAAAGGAAGAATTCCTCTCTTTTGTCACAGTCTTGATCCTCTCTTATCTTGCTGATGAAGGGGAAATTCTTCTCATCATAAAATATTTTGTAACCTCCAAATCAAACTAACTGCTGTCTCTCCCAGAGGATCAAGTTGCACAGGTAGTCCTTGACTTACAACCGTTCATTTAGTGAGCGTTCAAAGTTGGAACCGCATTGAAAAAAGGTGACCTACAACTGTTTTTTTTCAGAGTTACGGCCTTTGCAGCATGATCCCCATGATCATAGGATCAAAATTTGAATGTTTGGTCATATTTATGACCGTTGCAACGTCCTGGGATCATGTGATCCCCTTTTGCGACCTTCTGACGAGCAAAGTCAATGGGGAAGCCAGATTTCACTTAACAACCAGGTTAGTAACTTATCAACTGCAGTGATTCACTTAACAACGGTGGCAAAAAATGGTCATCAAATGGGGCAAAAGTCACTCAACAAATGTCTTCACCGAACAGAAATGTTGGGCTCAATTGTGGTTGTAAGTCAAGGACTATCTGCACTTATAACTTTCATTTTTGCTTGTTAAATAGCGATTTATATTTTTGGGTGGGGTGTTTACTTAAGTTAGTTTCTTGGAACGGCCTCAAGGGTTGCTTATCTGATCACAGCCTCAGACTTCCTTCTGTTCTTCAGGGCCATTCTCTATGCCAGTGGTGTGAACCTCGCTGGATGCGTCACGTGCTGGCCACGCCCACCTCCGGTCTAGTGAAGGAGGGGAAAGTTGCGATATGTCACGTGACGACAATGTATTGTTGCAAGCTTGACACCTCTGCCCTATGTCCTCTACACTTACACAAAGATACAATTTATACCAAATCTTACACACTGCTTAAGATTTAAGGTGACGATTGCAAATGATGGTAAAGCACCACAATGCTTCAACTGAGCTAATGTATCCCAAGTCAATGCCCAAATGCTCTATGGAAAATTTTGGCGCTCAATTCCATCTTCAAGGCAATAAAAATAGGGCCACCTGCATCTTAGAGGGCAAAGTATTCCAGAGTGTAGAGCAGTGTTTTTCAAACATAACTTTAAGAGAGGTGGGCATGCTGGCAGGAATTGAAGTCCACATATCTTAAAAGTTGCCAAATTTGAAGATATTGGTGTGCTTTCACTTCCTCACTTTACACAGGATGGAGTTCAACAACTTCCCATGTGTAATATGGATCAAGAAAGTTTGGTTCAAAATGTCTTCGATGAAAGCTAATTTTGCTTGATCATCACTTAGAGCTCATAAAATATGTGATAGCAATAGCACTTAGACTTATATACCGCTTTACAGTGCCCTACAGCTTCGTTAAGTGGTTTACAGAGTCAGCCTATTGCCCCCGACAATCTGGGTCCTCATTTTACCCACCTGGGAAGGATGGAAGGCTGAGTCAACCTTGAGCCTGGTGAGATTTGAACTACCAAATTGTAGGCAGTTAGCAAAAGTAGCCTGCAGTACTGCACTCTAACCACTGCGCCACCACGGTTCTTCTATTGTCACCCTGAGAACACATTTTTCATAGTTTATATCTAAGCCAATTGCAACATTTATCCCATTGCAATTATATGGCTCTATATTATAATGATGTTTATTATGGTTTTATCTTAATTTAATATATTTAAATTTATGTATTTAAATTTATACACACACACACACACACTTTATTTTACCATACCCTAAATTAAAAAAAAAAAATCTAAGCCACAGTTTAATATCATAAATTTGAAAAGCTGTTTCCTGATACAGAAGGAAAGATGTACTGTCTTATCTTTTTTTCTCTCCCCCTTTTAAATTATTCTGTATTTATTTTTCAAGATTGTATTTATTAAGTTGTAATCATTTTTATTAGCTGTGCCCTGCTGTCAGATATAAAGCCAAATAGCAATATTGAAAACCAACAGAGCGCATGTCCTCAGAGGCCTGAGATGTGAATTTTTCCTTACTGCTGTCGCTGTTCGCGCTCCCCCAGCTGTGTCTTGACCTCCTGCGCAAAGAATGTTAGGGAAGTTTTCCCGTGTCATACAGCTGCCAAAGGAGCAGATGCCTTGGCTGTCTCTTCTTTTGTACTGCTGGAAAGACAGTTGTAGATCTTTTAAAAATTATTATTTCTTGTGAATTTCTTTCATTTCCAGGATGTCTCTGTACTCAGATCTGTGTTTCATGGTGGCTTATTATTTTAGGAAGGAAAAATTCTCCCTTTGGAGTCTTTGGAGATTTCTCAGTTATCCAAGTCATGGTTATCCCAAAGATGCTTTTCCAAGAAGCAACTGGACTTTCTTTGTTTTGCCTTGATGTTTCGCTTCTCATCGGGGTGCAATTCAACTGGTGTTACTACCAATTTGGTGACTACGTGCAGCGTGCACGTGTAAAAAAAACCATGAGCTGTGCCTCCCAGACAGCTGAAAAGCGCTCCGTCTGGGTGTGCAGCGTTTGAAAACCCACTTTTTCCCTGCTTTTTCAACTTCCACGCAAGGCAGCTGAGGTTGAAAAAGCAGGAAATAAAGGACAGGTAAGAGCCCAGGCGGGCAAGTCGGCCAAACAGTATCAAACACAGAACCGGTTCAGTGCCTGCTGCTCTTCAGAGCTACCGGTTCTAAAGAACCGGTAGCGTCTCACCCCTGCTTCTCATCCAAAAAGTTTCTTCAGTTGTGAAGAAGTAAAGAAGCTTCTTGGATGAGAAGCGAAACGTCTCCAAGGAAAAACAAAGGCCAGTTACCTCTTGAAAAAAACACCTTTGGTTTTTGCTCTGTTCATTGCTTTCTTTTTATCTACAAGAAGAATATATTCCAATCTTTATTGAGGAATTCATGCTTTCTTTTCTGTTTCTGTTTAATGTGCCCAGTTAGAAATCTGGGTAGACAAAGTTTGCAATATCATTTATAACCTCTGTCCTGGAGGGGGGTGGGGGGGAACCCTGGCCAATAACATCCAGCAAGGCTCTAACACCTCTATCTTTCTTGCAGATGTGTCCATTGCAATGTGGTGTATTCTGACGTGGCTGCACTCAAGTCCCATATTCAAGGTTCTCACTGTGAAGTCTTCTACAAGTGTCCTATTTGCCCAATGGCATTCAAATCAGCACCCAGCACCCATTCCCATGCCTATACACAACATCCTGGAATCAAAATAGGAGAGCCCAAGTGAGTGTCCTTCTTGTCAAATTCCAGAAATTATTGATGTTCAAATGACGAACTGTGTGCTTATTCTCGTAAGAAGTATACCCTGCATATAATGGTAAGGCTTCCAACCCCAACCCCCCACCCCACCCACAGGCCATTGGAGAAGCAGGAAAAGGCAAAAGCACTTAACATAGGTAGTCCTCGACTTACGACCATAATTGAACCGGAAATTTCTCTGGCTAAGTGAGACAGTTATTAAGTGAGTTTTGCTCCATTTGATGACCTTTCTTGCCAGTGTTGTTAAGTAAATCGCTGCAGTTTATAAGTTAGTAACATGGTTGTTAAGTGAATCTGTTTTTCCCCATTGTCAGAAGGTGGCAAAAAGAGATCATATGACCTTGGGGGACACAGCAACAGTCATAAATATGAATCAGTTGGCAAGTGTCTGAATTTTAATCATGTGATCATGCGGATGCTGCATGTGCAATGTTTTCACTGTGAAAAACGGTGATAAGACACTTTTAAAAATGGTTACTAAATGAACTTAGTGAATGAAATGGAATGGAATGGAATAGAATAGAATAGAATAGAATAGAATAGAATAGAATAGAATAGAATAGAATAGAATAGAATAGAATAGAATAGAATTCTTTATTGGCCAAGTATGATTGGACACACAAGGAATTTGTCTTGGTGCAAATGCTCTCAGTATACATAAAAGATACATTCGTCAAGAGTCAAGAATCAGAAGGTACAACACTTAATAATTATAAGGGAACAAATCATACTAGGAAACTGCTAATATAAATTGTAAGGATACAAGCAACAAAGTTACAGTCATACAGTCATGAGTGGGAGGAGATGGGTGAAAGGAAGGATGGATGGTTACTAAGTGGAAGAAAATCTGTAATTTGTATTGTTAGAGCTGAAGGACATGTGCTGTTCCCTTTAGACCAGTGGTCCCCAACCACCGGACCGGTACCGGTCCGTGGATCATTTTGTACCGGGCTGCTGGTGAGCTTGGGCGCCGCCATCTTGTTTCGACGGTGCTTGAGAAAGTGCTTCTGAGTGAGCTTGTCAGTCGTCGGTTGTTGGAAAATGGCATTTGGGTGCTGAAGGAATCCTCGCACCTTAGTTTTGTTGAAAGGGAGGAGGCGGCTTCGAATGAAGAGCTGTCCCGATGGCGGTGGAGTCTCGCGTTACTCAGGAGGAGATTAAGAAAGAGCCCGAAAAGCACAAAAAAGGTACAAGGAAGGAGTTGAAGGTGGCGGGGAGAAGCGGGGGACGGCTGGCTGGCCGGTCGCTCAGCTCACTTTGCCTTGGTCATGCGTGCTGATGCCGGTACCGGTCCGCGGATCATTTTGTGATGCCGGTACCGGGCCGTGGTACAAAAAAGGTTGGGGGCCACTGCTTTAGACAATGCAATTGTGATATCAGATGCATAAAATGTGTATAACATATTTCAGGGTGAAAATTAGCTCTTGCAAGGTTAGAGCAATCCACCTCAAGCTAAAAAAAATTGAATTCTGAATTTAAAGGTTTTTGCCCTTCCATTTAGATGCTACAAATGGGAAGAAGACAATTATTTTGGATGGAAAAAAATAACTAATTGTGGGGAGTTGCAGCGTTCTTCGATTCTGGTTCAGGGCAATGCATATAAGTATGATTATTTTGAGAGAATTTCTGTTAAATCGGAATTGTTACTTCCTTTTCAGTTGTGTATGGATGGCCTTTTAAAATTGACATTTGGCTCTGACATATTGGGTTATGTTTCCACCATAATGTTTTGTGCAGGAGTTAACTTCCAATGAACCATTTTGTATCCTGCTGAATCAGTTAATGGAGTGTTTACTCTTCTTCCCCACTCCCCATCCCTGGCTGAGCTATTAGCTGCGGTTGTAATTGGAGAGTAGGCAGAAAGAGGGAAATCCTGTTATGGCCAAATCACTGGACCAGAGAGAAAGATAATCCTGAATTACACAGGTGGCAACAACCGAACCGAAGAACAGGAAACTGTTGTGCCTGGAGGCAATTGACATTCTTTAGAGTAGGGGTGTCCAACTTTAAGACTTCCCAAAGGTGACTTTTCAGGAGGCAACTGGACTTTCTGGTTTTTTTTCTTTTGAAGACGTTTTGCTTCTCATCCCAAGAAGCTTCTTCAGCTCTGACAGGATAGTGGGGAATGGAACTTTTAAGACTTGTGGACTTCAACTCCCAGAATTCTCCAGCCGGCCATTTTTATACACATTAAAAACAGGGCTACTGTCTCCAGTCACATAGTGGGAGCCATCATCTTGTTTCCTTTTACTACCACTACTGTGTTAGTAGTCCGGGGTTTGGGGACCCCTGACGTTTTCATTAAAAAAAAAAGGCTTGGAAAAGAAACCTAAAAATGTTTGCTGGTGCCCTCACAACACTTTTGATAGCTCTTGACCTTGCAGAAGTATTTTGCCTGAGGAACAACGCCTGCTTCAGATGTCATTTCAGGCAAAATGTTTGTGTGCCTTAAATTGTAAATGGCTGATGACACCTCCTGATTAATAGCAAAACAATTTGTGCTTTGTTGCCTCTGGCAAGCCACACTGAGGCTCTTTAAATGTCATGGAAACTTCTTTAGAATGAATTTATAATGCAGGGAATGGGTCACACTCCTCAGCCCCATGACCAATATCACTGTGTCCTTCTGGATGTGTTCCTGACCTTTGTATATGAGTTGAACGACCCATAAGGAATGTCTGTCTGAGATACAGATGTATATCTATGGAGCTGAAATGGAGCCCCGATAGCACAGTGGTTAAAGTGCATTATTGCAGACAATCTTGAGTTCGATCCTGATGGGCTCAATGTTGATTCAGCTTTCCATCCTTCCTAGATTGGTAAAATGAGGACCCAGATTGTTGGGGACAATATGCAAATAATGCTTCTACGTTGTGAACCTCCCAGCGAGTGCTGTAAAGTGCTGTGAGGCAGTATATACGCCTAAAATGCTATTGCTAACATACAGAAGTTAGGGTCCATATTGAGGCAGGACAACCCCTCCAGCAGCCGAATCAGAGGAGGAGGAGGCGTGCGAGTCAGGGTCAGCATCAGGGAAACCTGGGAGCTCCGAGGGGAAGAAGGAATGGAGCTGGCAGAGAGAGAGAGAGAGACAGAGAGACAGAGCCTGGGCCATCCATCAGCCCTCAGATGGAGAGTCAACAGCCCCCAGGTCTGGAGGTGGTTGATGAAGAAGAGGAGGAACAGTTGGGTCCAGTGCCTGACGCACGAATGCGCAATAGGCAGAGGAGAGGAGAACAGTGGAAATCTATGGGCCGGTCTTGGAACAGAAGAGTCACCAATGCTAGTGAAGCCCCACCCTAGCTCTGGGGATAAAAGGCGGGTGGGCAGAGATGAAAAGTTGTGGTAGACAACTATTCCTCTTCCAGCCGGAGTGACTTGTTAGCCTGCGAAAGAAACCTTTTGCCCAGGCTGCAAGCATTCCTAATAAAGGAATCTTTTGAGTTCACATCAGAGGGTTTGTTGTGTTTTGGGAGCTGGATCAGAACACTTCCATTCTTCCTCCATGTACTTCTCCAAATCTGGAGGCCAAGTAAATTTCTGTCAATATGAATCCTCATGCAACAAGCACAGTGAGACCATTTCAGTCATGTCCAAATATTCCAAAAGCATCTGAATAAATTGTAATACATTGATTTTGGGGCAAAGAATATACCATGTTGAATGTGTCTTTTGTTGTTAGCGTTGTTGTTGCAAGTAACACTTTCGTTTAGTCATGCTATGGACTAAAGGACTGCAGTGGGCAGTCATTACGTCTTCAACTCTCTTTGGTTTTTAGAATAATATACAAATGTTCCATGTGCGACACAGTGTTTACCCTGCAGCCGTTGCTGTATCGTCACTTTGACCAGCACATTGAAAACCAGAAAGTATCTGTCTTCAAGTGCCCGGACTGCTCGCTTTTGTATGCACAGAAACAACTCATGATGGATCATATCAAGGTACAAGTTATCTAATTTTACTTGGAAGCAGCAGTCCTATTGCATAAAACAATAAGGGGTGATAATTAATAGGGAAGTCATCAAGAGTAGATGTCAGAAGGCAGGAAGTACTTAGCAAACAGCTGAATTTAGCAGTGCATTTAGATCAGGGGTGTCGATTTCATTGAGGGCCGCATCATGGTTGTATTTGACCTCGAGGGTCAGGGTAGGCATGGCCAACTTGACGTCACTCATGTCAGGGGCGTCTGGTGGCCCAAGCACTTTGCCAGCGAAAACGGGCTCCTGAGCTCTGTTTTCAGCCGCAACAGGCTCTTGCCGCCCTCTGCCAGTGAAAACAGCCCAGGGTGCATCAGGGTTGTGTTTGACCTCGGGGGCCGGGGTGAGCGTGGCTAGCTTGATGTCACTCGTGTCAGGGGCGTCTGTGGTGGCCCAAGCGCTTTACCCTGAGCTCCCTTTTCACCCTCTGCCAGTGAAAACAGAGCCCTTCTGAACTCCGTTTTCACTGGCAGAGGCACCGCGGGCCATTCCTTTGCTGTTTCTAGAGCGATCCCGCAGGCCACATCTAAGCACCCCGGGGGCCGAATGCAGCCCCCAAGCCTTGAGTTTTGACACCCCTGATTTAGATAAAAAGGATGAGGTTTCCTCTTCATTACTATGTCAACTAATTCACTGTTCCAGAACAGCACTAAAATTTGTGATTTTTTTTTTCAAACTCTGAATGCTTTCAACTTCAAAAATTCAGACACCTCAGAGACAATTTAGTGTCACGATTTTGATGATCCTATACTGTGATATTAGAAGACCTTCTGCAAAGGCATCAAAATCTTGTCTTAAGATTTCAGTTTTCTCACACAAAGTCTCATGTGTTTGATTGTCACATGAGATTGATAGAATGCCCAACTATTTGCACACGAGCCAATAACAGTAATAATAATGGAAATTCTGAATTTATCAGACTTGAATACCCTGATTTTACAAAAAAACCACCCTACTTGGAACAGCTTATATCCTCCGACACTACCTTAACAGTTCCTAGGTCCCTGGTTACGACTCGAGCTGTTGAGCTACCAGCCAGCCCCAAAGGCTGTGAATCTCACTAAAGATTAACCAATAGTAATAATAATAACAATAATCACTTAAAACAATTGGCACTGACAAAATCACCATTGGTAAGCTGCAGAAGGCCACCTTACTGGGATCTGCTTGCATAATCCGCCGATACCTCACAAAGTCCTAAACGCTTGGGAAGTTTTCAACTAGTGATTTGTGATACAAAACCCAGAATAGTTATCTCGTTTGCTGTGTACACTGTTATTCTTTGGAGTCAAATAATAATATTTTTTAAAAAGCTCACTTGAACCTTGAATATTCCATTCCCTTTAAACAACAGATACAGTCTAATGGCCTTCCCTTTCTTCCTTCCACAGTCCATGCATGGGACGTTGAAAAGCGTTGAAGGCCCACCGAACCTCGGTATCAATTTGCCATTGAGCACAAAGCCCACCATCCAGAACTCAGTCAGCCACAACAAAGACGACTCGAAATCCATCAATGGGACAGAAAAAGCAGAGAAGAATTCCCCCACTTCTGTGAAGAAGGCAGAGCCCAAAAAGGGGTCTAATCCTGGCTGGACATGCTGGGAATGTGATCGGCTGTTTACTCAGAGAGATGTGTATATATCCCACATGAGAAAAGAACACGGAAAAGTAAGTTGTTGAGGTGCTCGCTGAGCTTCCTTTATTTTCTTGCAGACGTTTTGTTACCCAAACTAGGTAACATCATCAGTGCTAGTAAATTGTCACTCTGGCATCCTACCACATTTGAGTGCCACAGATAGTCCTCGATTTACAAGTTTTCTTTAGTGACCGTTTGAAGGCTTATGTGTTCTGACCAAGGCTTCCTGAGACTGTAATTAAGCACATGCTTAGTTAAAACAACTCTTGTTTTATTTCAACGATGGGAATTATGTTCATTCCCAGCCCGTAATGAGTCCCAAACAGTCCCTCGAGATAAGCACCCACCTTTCTCTCCTTTGAATTGCTGCCAACAACTAAAGTGCCAAATGAACTATTAAAAAAACCAACCAAAGTACAAAGTCCACACAGAATTTCAAGGTTTAATCCGAACAGAGTGAACGACTTTGCTTCCTGCAAAGGTTTCTTCACCTTTGTCTGTCCTTTATACCTTAGGGGAGGGGCAATCACCTCCCAGCCTTACTCCTGAGTCGCCCCTTTTGTCTCAGCTGTGCTTGCCTTCTAGCAGCTCTGTGCATACGCACACCAGGAACGGGCTCCCCTGGTTCCTCTGCCTCACTGCTGCCAGACTCCGGAGGCTCCGGAGTCAGCATACAACTCCCAGATGGTCTTGTCCCCATCTCTGCATCGGATCCAGAACCCTTGTCCGAGTCTTCCCCAGAATCCTGGACCATTCCCCGTTATTCCCCACAGTCTGATTCCGCTGCTGTCTGCACAGGCTGCTGGCGAACCACAACATTATGATCATTTTTCACACTTATGACTGTTGCAGCGTCCCCATGGTGAGATGATCAACGTTTGGCCTGTATTTATGATGGCTGCATTGCCCCGTGGGTCACGTGATCCCCTTCTGACAAGCCAAGTCAATGGGGAAGCCAGATTCCCTTAACAATTGCATTACAGGCAAGTCCTCGACTTACGACCCACAGATGAGCCCAAAATTTATCTTATTAAGAAAGACTTGTCAAAGTGAGTTTTGTCCCGTTTTACAATTTTTCTTGCCACAGTCGTTAAAAGTGAATCACTGAGGTTGTTAAGTTAATAACACGGGTTGTTAAGTGAAATGTGGCTTCTGCGATTGACTTTGCTTGTCAGAAGGTCACAAAAGGGGAATCACCTGACCCCGGGACACTGCAGGCGTCATAAATACGAGTCAATTGTCAAGCATCCAAATTTGGATCATGGGGATGCTGCAATGGTCATAAGTATGAAAAACAGTCATAAGTCACTTTTTCCTTTGTAACTTTGAACCATCACTAAACAGATCTCTGGAAGTCATGGTCTGCCTTAACTACAATGATTCACTTCACAACCCTAGCCAGAAAGGTTGTAAAAAGGGACAAACTCACTTAGTCTCACTTAGCAACAGAAATTTGGGGCTCAATTGTGATTGTAAATTGAGGACTACCTGTAGTTCATGACATGCTTAACAGAGTTGTGGGGCAGGATACATGTGTCATGAAAAATCTCCAGTCTGCACAGATGAACGGTTTGCCTAATCCCGACAGGGTAAGGGAGGGTAGGGTAGAATTAGAATTAGAATTAGAATTAGAATTAGAATAGAATAGAATAGAACAGAGTTCTTTTATTGGCATAAGTGTGATTAGACACACAAGGAATTTGTCTTGGTGCTCTCAGTGTACATAAAAGAAAAGATATATTTGTCAAGAATCATAAGGTACAACACTTAACAATAGTCATAGGGTACAATAAGCAATCAAATCATACTAGGAAACAGTCAATATAAATCGTAAGGATTAGATTTAACCCCAAATCTTTGACCTTGTTTTGACGAAACATTCCTTCCAATCAACTACTGTACATATGAAGGAAGTGACATATCTGAATACTATTTGGCTCTTTTCATTCCCTGAGATTACAAGAGCCCAGCAAAACTGGTTTTTTGGGGGGGGGGGGGGGGGGGGACGGACTCCCACCCGTCTCTTCTGTTTCACCCTCTCCCTTTAGCCAGGTTGGAGCAGGGTGGGGGGGGAACCTCTCTGAATATGTCTGAGCAGTGCTGACCACAATCATATCGTTGGATTTTAAAATCTCTTTGGTGGGAAAAAAGCATGAAAAGACAGGAAGCGAAGAGGCAAGTACAACTTCCTTTGTAGCAGTTGTAAGAACTAAAAGGAAAAAAAAATGACTGCTGCGTGATAGATCCAGGCATCTTGTGTTGTTTGATGCCAGCATGCAACGCAGTGAGTCTGTTGACTGGTGTGTGGGTGGCTAAGGGGTGTCCATGATGCATGACCACATCCAGTATGAACGTTAGAGTCAAGCTGCTTTTTTAAGTTGGTTAGTGAATTATATTTTATTCTTAGTAGCTCTCTCTTTTCTGAATTGAATTGTCTGTGAAATGTATTGATTACACCTGCGTGTTGCTAACACCTTAGAACAGGGGTGTCAAACTCGCGTTGTCATGTGACGTATCGGGACTTTCCCCCCCTTCGCTAAACCATATGTGGGCGTGGCCAGTGCATGATGCATCAGGCCTGCGGACCGCGAGTTTGACAGCCCTGCCTTAGGAAGATTACTCTTTTGGCAGTATTGAAGAAAGCATAAAAATCTACCATTCAGTAAATGAAATCGATTGTTCGTTAAAAACAAGTTTGCTTGTGCATTTTTCTCTTGTATTCCTTATTAGCGCAACGCACAAGCAATAACTTAGCTTCCAAAATAAGTCTGCAGTTAACCTGCCTTTGACAATTTTTAAGAATCTGAGACTACAAGTTCCAGTACATTAAATTATATTGAATTACAGAATATCTCTCCAGCATATCAAGTGGGATTTTGTAGCGATGTGTTTATTTATTTATTTATTTTTATTATCCCAGGAGATGAGAGGTTAAGAAATATGAATGAATGAATGAATGAATGAATGAATGAATGAATGAATGAATGAATGAATGAATATTTGTTATGGAAAGCCCATTTGGTCTAATGGCTAAGACCCAGGCTAAAAACCAGGATGCTACCAGGCATGAAAGCTGGTTGCATGATGTTGGGACTTATGGGAAAAACACCAGGAAAAAATAATTATATACATTTTTATTCCTATGGTCACCCATCTTAAACAAATAACTTTAGGGGGCTAGCAAGCAGCACAAAAACAGAGAGACAGACAGATAGATCCAACATAAAAGAAAAACAAGATACAATTGAAAATTATCATTAATGCAATAATCCTGGCACCTGTAGAATACACCACACCAAATGTGCAGCATATTGGGTTCAATAATATCCTGGCCCTAACACTTGAAAGAAAACTGGGCCTTCACAGCCTTACAGAAAAGTTAGGGCCATCTGGATCTGTGAGAAAAGGCTTATATTTTTTGCATTATTATTAAAATGTATATGCCATGTGGCTCTAAGCCATTTACAAATTAATTTAAACGTTAAAAATGACAAAGAAAAAGAATGATGATAGTTAAAACGACACCCAGAGGGCAGTCGGTGATTAAAACTAGCTACTGTTCTATTAATGAAGTAAACCTGCTGTACTTGTTGACATCAAATATTAGTCATTGAGAATGCAAGTAAAATGTAAAGCTTTCCCTTTCCGGTTGTGTTTGATTCTAGGATGCAGTGCTCACCCCTGTTTTTGGGCTGGGGGAACCAACATTGTCTGGAGACATTTTCTGTGGTCATGAGGCCAGCATGGTTATACGCCAGGGGTGTCAAACTCAAAGCCTGGGGGCAGGGGAGAGCCCCTAGCTAAGATTCTGTGCAGTTCAGACAACCCCCAAATCCCACTCCTGGCTGGCCCCACCGACCCCTCCCCTCCCAGAAGTCCCCACGTGGCCCATTTTGGATGCAGGTAAGTGCAGGGACCACATGGAGGTTCGGGGAGGGTGAAAAACGGGCCTCCTGGAAGGAGCCCAGAAATGGGCTTGTTTCCGGCTTCCAGAGAGCCTCCGGAGCCCGGGGGGAGGGCAAAAACGCCCCACCACCACAGTGCAGGAGGCCCACTAGGCCACGCCCACCATGGCCACGCCCACCCAGCCATTGGGCAGAGAACCCTTTGCTAAAATCTTTGAGGCCCATCCCTGCCCAGGGGCCAGATCTGGCCCATGGAGCCCTGGAAACAGCAAAGGACTGGCCGGCGGTGCCTCTGCCAGTGAAAATGGAGCTCAGGAGGGGCTTCCTAAGTTCCGTTTTCACTGGCAGTGGGTTGCAGGAAACCGTCCCAGCTGCAAATGGAGCTCGGGAGCCCGTTTTCCCTGGCAGAGCGCTACAGGTGCCCCTGACATAAGTGCCGTTGAGCTGGCCATGCCAATCCCTGGCCCCCTGAGGTCAAATATAACCCTGATGCGGCCCTCAATGAAACCGAGTTTCACGCCCCTGCTATACGCCAAAGGCTAGGAGTTGGGGCAAGGAACAGTCGCTCGCTCTGCTGCATGGTGCTCAGGTCTTGAACCCGGGCTGAGTAGTTTCCAGCTGACACTAGAAAGAATTTAAAAGGCAGGTTCCTTTGCATCTAGGAAATCCAACTGCACATCTCCATTATCCAGGCTAGGGTGGACTAAGCGTGGCTAAGGATTAGGGAATATTTGCTGAGGGCCGGAAGAAGGGCACAGGAGGTGGTAGAAAGGCCAGGTATAGTTCAAATACATTTGGAAGATGTATGATTCAAACGCTGAATGAGAGTAGCACATTATTTTCCCCTTTCCCCTGAGTTAGCGGGGTGTGGGGGAGCTGACTCATAACTTTCTGTGTCTGATAATCCATGCAAACCCCTAGGCAGGAGTAAACCTAATAAAAATAATTCCAGTTTTGCTGTCTGAGAAGGTTGAGGAGGAGATATGGGAGGAAGAAATCAGCCGATGAACCTGTGGGAAATCTTGTGAAAACGAAATTGGCTCCATGAAGTTAGCAGTAACAAAAGCCAGCCTCTGCCAGACCTGAGTTGCTAGGTGAGACAGGCTGCAATGCAACCTTCCTCAAGCTCCGCATATGTTAGACTCATCATCCTCAGGTAGTATACCGTGGCCGATCAGGCCAAGGTATTATCGGAATTGTTGTCCAGCTACTTCCCAGGAAAATTGGTTGAAGCAACCTAGTATAATAAAATGCTGGTTTAGTTTCTTTCCAAAGCTGTGGGTGAAAAAGGGTTGCACATTTGAAGATAGATGGCTGAAGATGCATGTTTTTTGTTGATTTGCTAGCAAGCAAATCCATCTTCCTCCACAAACTCAAGCAACATATATGGTCCATATCCTCCATTTCTGACAAAAACCATCTTGGACGTAGGCTGACTGAGCAGGCAGAGGGAACCGGCCTCCATTGAGTTTCTGCGATTGAGGGTGATAGGAACCTGGATCTCTGTCTCTACATTATACTCCGGCACCTTAACTACTGCACCCCTCTGGATGTAGAAGATATGGTGTGTGAGGCTTTGTGTCCCTTGTGTCTTTCTCAAGAGGCAACTGGGCTTTCTGGTTTTTCTTTGAAGACGTTTCGCTTCTCCTCCACGAAGCTTCTTCAGCTCTGCCTGGGGCTCCACACGCATTCGCAGCACTCAGGTGGCTCTGATGACATAGATAACCCTCCAGGTGACCTTAACGACCTGCTAAAAGAATGCAAATGACCGGCTGTCTGCAAGGAGTATAAATCCTTCCATTCCCCACCATCTAGTCAGAGCTGGAGAAGCTCCTTGGATGAGAAGCGAAGCGTCTTCAAAGAAAAAGCAGAAGGTCCAGTTGCCTCTTGAAAATAAGCCCCTTGAGGACAACCATGGCCTGGGTGACTGAGAAATCTCCATAGACATTTTCTTTGAAGACATTCTTCAATGGCCCACCCATTAACAAAGGTGGGTGTGAGCTTCTGCTTCTGAGGTGAGTTTCTGCTTCTGAGTTTCTACTCTTTTTAGGGGAAATATTCTGCCTTTTTACTTTATCCTAAAATATTTCATTTTCCTAGGAGAGTGTGGGTTTTAACTTCCAACATATATATATATATATATAAAAAGTATTTTCATGAATTAGGATCCTGAGCTTGGGAGAAAGAAGGCGTTGGCTGGATGGACTCAGTTAAATCAAATGACCTTAGATCATCCAAGTTTAGGAGAAGAACTCTTCAGGGCACACACCAGATATCTGGGTTTAAAAAATTAAGTACCTTCTACTAGTATCAGGTTGGTGAAAGTGGTTGTAACAGCAGTTGTTTAGATGCTCCAGTCCCCGTAGTTAATTAGGCAATCCCTCAACCCCTACTTGCCTCATGTATATTTATTCTGGAGAAGGAAGGTCTATACTGTATGTGTAGGGTTTCAGATTTGATTTTAGAAAGGTGCTTTGAGCTCCCCACGGAGACCCAGATAGTATCGTTCAGCACCTACTTAAATTATGCATGTTACCACAGGATTGTACTTGATTGAGTCCTCCAATCAACATTAAATCACTTACTTCCAGACTTCCCATGGCTTACTTGATCCCCTACTATATGTTAGGACTTGACGGGTGTCACGTATACTGTTTTGGCCACACAGATCCGGAAACTGACTCTACGGGAAGACTGTAAAATAAAGAAGTATTGAAATAAGCCGTATGGCAGAAGTCTACAGCAGCACATTTTCTGGTTCCCAGTTTCCTTTTTCACCCAGTTACAGTTACAGAGAAAAGTGTTGCATAAGCATCATTCGTTTGTGTTCAGAAGTGTCTTTTGGCCTTTGAATGTAAAGCCCTGTGCCTATAAGTTCAACACATTCTCAAAGATCCATCTCATCCTGGGAACTCTTTTTTTTTTTGAACTATTACCATTTGGCAGACGGTGCAGGATAATAAAAACAAGGACAAATAGGCTGAAAAACAGCTTCTATCCCAGGGCAGTAGCTCTTTTAAATTCTGCTGTATAGCGCAGTGTTGGTGCAGTGTCTGGGGGGTTCGGTTCAATGTGTGGAGGGTGAAGGATGTGTGTTTGTGTTTATTTTCATGGTCATGATGTGTACTGAAGATGGTGTTTGATTTCAATGTACGAGGTGCAATGCCAATAAACTAAACTAAACTATAAGTCTTCGAGAATTGGTAACAGGAATCTGGGACAAACCACTCTGGCAGAAGATCTGACTGCAAAGAATGGGCAAAAGATGATTTTGGCCCATATTTAACAACTGGGGTTTGAGTTTCTGTGTTCATTCCTCTTCTTTTTGACATTTGGTCTCTATTAATGTTGCACCTCCCTGACTTCGTTGGGCCTGGGGAAGCAGTTGGAAATTGGGCAGTGGGTCACCCCTGTCATTAAACAAAGTAACCTGCAGTTGTTAAGCAAATGCAGTAGTTCTTCACTGAATCCATTGTCTGCAATGGACAGTTTGTTTGCCAGAAACCAGAAGTAAATACCGGTTTCTATCAAAAGCATTCCTCAATTGTAAACATGTGACTGCAGGACACTACAAACAACTATAAAAGTGAGCCAGTTGCTGAGTGCCCCACATGCTATCATGTGACCTTGGAGGTGGCCATCAGGATTTTGAATTTGGGTCTTAAGTAGCCCTGGGGAGGTCCGTCGTAAATTCAGCTGGTTACGTGATGTAAATTGAGGACTATCTGTAGGTTATTATAGGTAAGGGAGACGTTATTATGATCTTCAAAAATTATCTGCGTGTGTCTCCCTCTAGTGGACATGGTGGGACTGGACACAGATCTGACTAACTTTTCACTGCTGTTTCTTTCATAAGTTTTATGTCAAGTTTGCAGAACTTAAATCTGCACATGAATGGACTGCTTTGCAGCTGTGTCAGCCTGGCGCTGCTAAATTGGTTCCAAGAGTCCCTGGGGTTCAGAATGCTCTCCTTAAAGCTGCAGTCTGAATCCCTCTGTTGACGTTTAAAGGTTATCTGCTCCTTCTTCAATGTTTTATTTCCTTTCGTTTAAAGCAAATGAAGAAACATCCTTGTCGACAGTGTGACAAATCATTCAGCTCATCGCACAGCCTTTGCCGTCACAATCGTATCAAGCACAAAGGCATCAGGAAAGTTTACACCTGCTCGTAAGTTCTGCTTTTGAAAGTTTTCGTTCACGTAAAGCAGACAGAATATTCAGCAGTACCACATAGTAACAGGCCAGGCAACGGTTAAAAGAGTTTCCATAGACCGTCAGATTGGCAAAGCCTTTGAATAATCATTGTGCCTGTCATTCATATGATGCTACCCCCAGTGAGTCTATCAGATCTTTATCTACCAGGCTTACTTCAAAGTTATGGAGAAGGAGAGCTTTCATCTTTCACGCATCTTGGCTAGGTATTGGGTAATACTGCTCGTTTGAAGCTATCCGTTCATAGCCTGCTCTACATTTTCTTCAGGCACTGCCCGGATTCCAGAAGAACTTTTACTAAGAGATTAATGCTAGAAAAACATATTCAGCTGATGCACGGGATTAAGGAACCCGACGTGAAAGAAATGGCAGAATCAACGAACATGGGAGAAAGTTCAATCAAGGAAGACCCCAAGGTGAGCTATCACGTTTTTCATTGTTGTGGGTCATATTTCTATAGAAGCATATATCATTTTTTTTTTCCTCCTTTCCAGCAGCATCCACAGGAAGTCAATAATCAAAACATTGGTCATAGCAGTGCACTCCTTGGTTCTCCTCTGTAAGCACAATATACCAAGCCCAGAACTGGCCCTTGGGACTTTATGGCTTTTTCAGATTATTCAGAAGGCTAAAAAGCAGGTTGAAATCATATAATCTGCAGGTGGGAAGGGGTTCTTATTCAGTATATCTATATCTATATATGTATAAAAGCGAAATACCACTTGTGCATCATCCCAAAATCTCCAGAACCGTAAAGCCTACAAAATTGAAATTTGGCACGGTGCTCCCTAAGAAATGATTTCAAAATGACCATCAGAGTATTAGTATTTCGTATATTATTATTAACATGCTCTGATGCCAAGGAGTTCTACTCCCCCCTGAAAAGAAATACGTTCCAAATGCAAAACACAAGCAGAGGAGTTTCAGTTTTAGTTTCACAGCACCAAGCAGCTTTAGTACAGAACAGTTGAGCTAAGCCACGCCCAGGCTCCTTACTGTCTTCTTGCTCATACAGCAAATACTGTTTCAGTTTTCAAACAGCCCTTAATTCTCTCACACACTGACAGGACTCTAGCCAGATGAATACCGATGGAGGCTGGTAGGCAGAGGCAGATTTTTTTTCCCCCTTATCTTCCTCCCCAAAAACTAAGCCCGACCATATATTTTCATAGCAAAGCATGGGTATCGAGCTACTATATGAGATATAGCTGTTAAATATCTGCATGATGGAACATTTGCCTCTTTTCCATTTTTCTGGAAATGGGCCAGAGGCAAGCTGTGCTTTGAGAACCGGCTTTGCTAGAAACAGATGTCTCTCAAGTCTACTCCGCAGGTACAGACACCTGAGGTTTTAAAAGGTTGCCCTGTAGGTCCATCAATGTCCATGTAGTTTCCATCTCTCTACAACCTGAAGCGTATACCTTAACCTCAAAGCTTTTTGGTACAGCCCAAAGAATGCTTTCAAAACGTTGCCACTGAATTTTCATCTTTGGGAATAGCAAAAAAAAATAAAAATAAGTCCATAGGGGAATAATCATATGAACTGTATCTAATTAAAATTAAATCAAATGTAGATTTATGCCTGGCCCCTTCTGTTTGTTTTTGTCCTGATCTAGCAGACTCATGGACTGAGAAAAATGTTGTCCCTCCCTATTTTAGGTATTTATAAGTGGGGTCCAGAGCCTCAGCCTGCTGTTTGTCTGGTACCATGGGTTTATTACCCTTGTGAAGGGTTATCTTGAAAAGATAGAAATAGACATTATTGTGTCTAATAATTGGTGAAATTCCTATCCTCTTAATCCACTATGACTTCCTTCTTAAAGTCACCCATAACCTAAGACAGGGGTCGGCAACCTTAAACACTCAAAGAGCCACAGAAGTCCTAACCAGAAGCCCCCCATTCAATTCTGGAGCCGACCAGACTCTATGGTAGTTCCCCCACCATAGAGTTTCCTCCTAGCACAGTGTCCTTTTTCCTCTACCTGTCCTAACCCAAAGCCCTATCAATTGTGGAGTCGACTGGCAACAGAGAGCCGCAGCAGAAGGCCACATGCGGCTCCGGAGCCGCAGGTTGCTGACCCCTGACCTAGGAAGATACATTCTATACATATTACACTGCGGATTGAACTTCTGTCTCAAATTTCATTTCACTGACAAGAACTCTGTATGAAACTATCCGGCCGTGTTGTACTTTATTTCTTTAATGGGCATGTTTAATGTTGTTCTCAACTTCTTCAGGTTCCCAGTCCAAAGCGTAAATTAGAGGAGCCCGTGTTGGAATTCAGGCCCCCTCGAGGGGCCATCACCCAGCCGCTGAAGAAGTTGAAAATCAATGTTTTTAAAGTTCACAAATGCGCCGTCTGTGGCTTCACCACCGAGAACCTGCTTCAGTTCCACGAACATATTCCCCAGCACAAATCTGATGGCTCCTCCTATCAGTGCAGGGAATGCGGTCTTTGTTACACGTCCCATGTCTCTTTGTCTAGGCATCTCTTCATTGTCCATAAGCTGAAGGAACCTCAGCCTGTTTCGAAACAGAATGGCTCTGGAGAAGACAGCCAGCAGGAGAACAAGGCCGGCCCTGAGGAGGAATCCACGGATCGATCCACCTCTGACAGGAAATGCAAAGTGTGTGCAAAGACCTTTGAAACGGAAGCTGCCTTAAACACCCACATGAGGACACACGGCATGGCTTTTATTAAATCCAAAAGAATGAGTTCAGCTGAAAAATGACCCTGCTCCTTTCTTCCATCCCATAAGCATCTTCCAAAAGTTGGAGGGGGAAAAAGAAAAAAAAAAAGAAATCAGCCTTTCTACTTCAGAATGGAGTTGACTTTTTCTTTGGGGGAATATAAAAAGATTTACCATACCGTAAATTTAACAATTCTCTCCCAGGCTGTTGCAATAGATTCCACTCTATTCTATATTTCAATTTATCTTCCTCACCTCATATCGCGATAGAGATTAATAAGCAGTCATTCGTCATTCACTCCCCTGAAAGACAGCATTAAAAAAAAGAAAGCAGTATTTGAGTCTAAAAGAGTTTGTATATATTTAAACAAAGTAATTTCATAGTCTTTGTTACATGTTTGTATTTGTATTTAGTGGGATTTTTTTCTCCCCTGTTTTGTTCGTCTCTCTTGCTTACGTCTTTTCTAACCAATGGATTGTTTCGAAGCAGAATTCTTAAAAGTTGGAGCAATACTTTAGATTTATTAAGCTGTTTCAGATGTGATCCTTTTTCTGAGATTGCCTGAGTAGCTTTGGAAAAATTCCCCCATATTTCTCTCTCGTCCTCTCTGGGAAGAAGAACCCCAATGATATCGTTCCTTCCCGACCAGCATTACCCCTCCAGAAAACTAGGTCATGTTAACCTGGGAAAAGGCAACCATGGGATACATATCCTTGGATTCCATTTAACCAGAATTGTTCAATGTTGCCAGCATTGTGCTGAAAAGCAGCTCACATGTTTCTGAAAGAAAAGTCAGAAGAATTGTGTGTCTCAGCAGTATTGGAAGAGAAGGGTTTTTAAAAAGCAAATAGGTTTTTTTTTGTTGCAACTCAAGGAGCAGTTGTAGTTGGACCCGCTGGTTCTTATGACTAGGAGGATTAAGAATCATTTGATAGGATCTCTTGCTTAAATATTTCAGGTGTGTTGGGGGGGGAAATCTACTCAACTTGAGAATTTCTCTCTATATAGAGAAAATTCTGAGTACAGTATTCAGCCCATGAGGGTAAATCTACTTTGCAGGAGCTCCATTGGAATGAAAAGGATTTGAGTCAAAGCAATGGGTTCCCCCCACTCCCAGTGGTGGTGGCAGAAAAGAAAAGTCTTGGAGGACTTTGCTATGTGTCATTTTAATCATTGTTTGTCTCTACTCATTGAGTACCTCATTGAATGTTGCAGGACCTCTTGAAGGCCATTTGAAGATGCTTTTCAGTATTTTAAGTTTGTCTTTTGTCTGTTACGGTATATAAGATGCAGAATAAGCTTAATTATTTTAGATGTGTGGTATCTAAGTCAATCAAGTTACAGTTGAGAGATAAAAGAAGGCCGTGTGCCAAGTCAGTCTTGAGCAGCAGTTTTAATCATAGATACGAATTGAATCATAGAGATTTGAACGCAAGGAAATAAACAGCCAATCACCGGCCATCAAACGCACCAATCAACCAATAGGAAGGCACCACCACATAAATACAATGCATAGAATAGCTCAAAGCACACATTATGAGTGCATATTTGAATAAGCAATTCAACCAAATTGAGAGAAGTTTCCTGATGGGCTCCAGCACAAGTCCAAAATTTGGAAAACTAAAACTCTGGTCCCGTTGATTGACCCAGATTGGATCTTGCATAGAGATTCGGATTGGAGATCATCTGCAGGCAATGCTACTGATTTTTGGACCATCACATAAAGATTTAATTTAATTGCTTATTCAAATATGCACTATTAATTGGACACCATATTGATGAAAAATATTCCTTATTCATATATATATGTATACACACACACACATACACACACACACACCAGTGGTGGGATTCAAAAATTTTTTTACTATCGGTTCTATGGGCATGGCTTGGTAGGCATGGCAGGGGAAGGATACTGTAAAATCTCCGTTCCCTCCCCACTCCTGGGGGAAGGTTAGCACGGTTCTCCATACTACTTAAAATTTCCATTACCGGTTCTCCAGAACTGGTCAGAACCTGCTGAATACCACCTCTGACACACACACACACACACACACACACCATTCTTTGTCAGAGTTAACTCATCACAGCTGCAAGATCACTAAACAAGATAAAATGTGTTGTAATTCTAAGCAAGTTTCCTTCTCTCCTAAGAAGTGCTGAATGTCAGAGGGACCATGGGCCTGAGCATGATTTTCAGATTTCCTAGAATTCGGCTAATAAAATCGGAGTCATGCGGCCTGCTCTTCATGGCCAATATTTGGCCAATATTTATCCTGTAAAGCAGGGGTCCCCAGCTGCGGCCCAGTACTGGGCTTTGGCCCATTCAGAACCAGGCTGCACACAAATGTGTTTAGATAATTCCAGGCTATTCAGAGTGTTTGAACCTCACACAACCTTCTGCCTTGCTTCCGATCCCTTGGAGGCATTGAAGTTATTGCTACCTTGCTTTGAATTTAGAGTAATTTCGGGTAGCTGTTTCCAAGGAGGTTAACTGTTTGGATAAAACTAACCCCGGCTGAAAATATCTTCCAGTTTCCTGAATTTAGTGTTATTCCCCCCACAGCAGTATCTCTGCTTTATTCTTAGATTGGTTTATCATGTCTTTTGGTGGTGTTTTTGAGCTTGCATTCATATTGCAAAGTGGAAGAAACTGCCCTGATATCTTTTCTCCAATCTTCTGACCTGTTGGGACCATGTCCTCTAGATCAGGGGTCCCCAACCACCGGACCGGTACCGGTCCGTGGAACATTTTCTACTGGGCCGCCGGTTTGCTGGGCGCCGCCATCTTGTTTTGATGAGAAAGTGCTTCCGGTGAGCTTTTCCGGTTGGAAAGTGGCATGTGGGTCCTGAAGGAATCCTCGCGCCTTAGTTTCATCAAAGGGGGGGCGGGGTGGCTTCGAACAAAACTAAGGCGCGAGGATTCTTTCAGCACCCAAGGCAAGGCGAGCTGAGCGGCCGTCCCAAAGCCCATCGACACAGGTACAAAGGAGGAGTTGAAGGTGGCAGGGAGAAGCGGGGGAAGGCTGGCTGGCCGGTCGCTCGGCTCACCTTGCCATGCGTGCTGATGCCAGTACCGGGCCGCGGATCGTTTTGTGATGCCGGTACTGGGCCGTGGATGTCTTCCCTTGGCTTTTATTGCGGCAAGTGTAGGAAGCAAGGCAGCTTAAGACACTTATAGGAACAGTTGCAGAAGGATGGCAGAGAAGCTCGCCCAACTATTTTGACCAAGGTGACGATAAGAATCCTTGTTTGTTTGTTTTTCATCGAATTTAATGAGAACAGCGGGGGGGAAATGCAGTAGAAATTTTCAGCATGGCACTAATTGCAAAGAAGGTCATTCAAGACCTTTTGGGTATCTCAACGGAGTCTCCTATTATATGTGAGCGAGGCTGAGATTTATGCACATTGAAAGAATTGCTAAAGTCTGAAAGAAGTTGTATGATTGCAGCCCAGGTGATGGATGAAAGGTTTGCTATTTTAGAATAATGAATTTTTCAAGATATACCTTAAATAAACGTTAGTCATAGGATTGTGTGATGCAGGCATCGTATTGCGTCGTAGAAAGAGAAGTAAGAACCACAAAGCACTTGAAATGTAAAAGCTGTTATATAAATAATGATAAATAATTCTAGCCATCTGGTGGCCTCTGAATTTGGAAAGATGATATAAATTCTTTTTTTAAAGACATTCCAATGTACAGTTATATATACATCATATAGATTAAGATTCCAGATAATAATAGGAGTTATAAAAGTGCTTTAGATTATTCCAAATGCTTCGTATATATTATCTCGATATTTCTTGCATTCCTGTTAGAGATAAGAACAATTATTCCTGTTATCCCACTGAGGTGGGGAGCATTGAGTCAGAGCCAGCATCTTGTCTACGGACCCAGGAATTTGGAGTCAAGGTTACATTTGAATCTGGGATTTCTCAGATCTTCCGTCATTACTATAAAAGCTGATTGGAATTCTATCCCTTGGATTCACATCCGATCCTTTACCAATTCGTGCTCCAGATCTCATGGGATGCATTCCCGCTTCACAAATAGGAGGCTGTGAGTTCAATCCTAGGTAGAGGCAGATAGTTTTTTCTCTCTGGGCACAATGAGAATATATCTGCAGAATATAACTCGGCATTGGCAACAGGAAGGGCATCCGGCCATTAAACACTCCGTTCGCTCCATTCAGTTGCCCAGACTCCAAGTATAACTTGCCTTTTAGACAGTTCCCATGCAGGAATTCAGTACAGTGTGTGGTGGACTACAGTGTTTAGACCAATTGAGGTCACTATTCAGGATTCTTTTTCTTCCTAGTGTTTTCCCACAGAGTCTAGTTTAGTTTACAATGGTTGTAAATGGTTGCGACAGAAATTGACTGACCAGCTTGTCACTCAAACCTGACATCATAGGCTAAGAAAAACCACCCAGCTGGCTTTTATGCTTAACACGAGACTACCGCTCACAAACTCCTGAGCCTGGTGCCTTAACCACTAGATCGAACTGGCTCGCAGTCCCACTTCTGGATTGCGATTCTGTTGGTTATGAGGCTACAAATAACCGACAGGTATAAAACGAAGGTAGCTGGAACAATGATCTGGAGCCCTATATGGTTCACATTAAGGCCCTTTAGAAATCAGGCTGAATCAGAAATCAGAAGAGAAATCAGTTCTGAATCAGGTCCACTCAGTAGAGATGACAGAATAATAAGAGTTGGAAGGGACCTTGGAGGTCTTCTAGTCCAACCCCCCTGCTCAAGCAGGAGACCCTATACTATTTTAGACAAATGCTTGTCCAGTACCTTCTTAAAAGCCTCCAGTCTTGGAGCACCTACAACTTCTGAAGGCAAGTTGTCCCGTTGGTTTATTGTTCTCGCTGTAGGGAAATTTCCCCTTAGTTCTAGATTGCTTCTCTCTTTGTTCAATTTGTTCAATTTCTATCCATTGCTTTTTTTTTTCTTGCCTTCTGGTGCTTTGGATAATAGGCTGAGCCCCTCTTTTTTGTGGTAGCCCCTCAAATATCGGAACACTAGTTCTTTTCACTAAGTTTAGACAGACCCAATTCCTGCAACTGTTCTTTCTATGTTTTAGCCTTCCGCCCCACCGATTGTTTTGTGGCTCTTCTTTGCGCTCTTTCCTTCTGAAAACCTTAACAT